AATAATAATAACAAGGTTTCGCGATGCACCTAAGCAAGCAACGAAGAAACTGGCCGATGTGTGAAAGAAGAACCAAAGCAGCCAATCCGTCGCTAACGAGATATGAAACGAGAGACTACAGTTCGTGGACGAGGTAGAAAGAAGAAAGAAATACCTGTAGGGTGGTACGCACAGCAACAAAAACATAGGTAAAACAAAGCTCTTTTGCAAGACAGTTTTCTACGTAGTCTTTCTTTTACCCCTTTCATGGTAGCAGAAGCACACTCTCAAATCGGGTGTCAACAGGCTTGAAAGAAAGAACCCTCACGCCCCTCAAGAAACAGAGTATAAGAAAAGTAAACGTACAAGAAGAACGCGAACTAGGCCAAGGCCGCCTTTACTTGTGATCCGCCTTTGGTAGGATGCGCTCCCGTACCTTGTTCAGTGCCTTCTTGAGATGATCCGCCAAGGAGCGCGGGATGTTGCCGTCTACGATGTAAATATCAAACAAAATGCGGCCCAGATCACCGGTCAGGTAAGGGTCAATAAAAGGTAGTACGCGCTGCAGCACAAAGTACTGCCGCTGCGCCTCCGAGTGTAAGACGCAGGACGCGCCGCTGCCGCCGTGCTTCTGCAACGCCTTCACCACCTGCTCCTCCACTGCATCGAAAAATGAGACGTAGAACTGCGGCATGTGGGGAATAAAGGTGGGCCGCTTGCGGATCGGCGCGTACACAGTGTAGAGGCGGGGAATCCACTTACTGCTCATCTTCACATCCACGAAGCCGTTCATGCGCATCTCCTCCTCGAGCAGCTGAAAGAGTCCGCTTTCCGTCTCTTGGAAGTACTTCAGAACAGCATCGTACTGCTCGTCCGTGCAGCTGCGGTCGCCGATGAACACGGGTTGTCCAACATACTGCGGCGGCACACTGCCCTCTCGCCGCCGTGAGCACTGCCCGTCGCTATTGGTGCGTGCAGTAGTCAACACACGGTGGTACATCTCGCACGGCATGTGAAGGTTCACGACGACAAAGTCCACGTCCTTGCTGCTGGGCCGCAGCGGTGTGGGCAGTAAGCGCGGCGGCGACGTCGGGAAGCGCGGCGACGTGCCATTGGGGTGCTGCGGGGTCGCCGAAGTGAGAGAGAGAGACTCGGAGCAGCTGCTGCTGCCCATTATCGCCTCTTGTTTCACGTGCGGCAGTGCACTCGTCGGTCGATCAATGATATGGACATCCTCCGCCACGTCCACGTGCACTTCTCCTGAACCTTTCACTCTGCAGCGGTCGCAGCTGCGAGAATGCTTCCCAGCCTGGCACACACCGTCGTGGGGGGCGCTATCGGTGCTGGACGTCGCCGTCGACTTTGACGGCGTCAACTCCCCGCCTTCCCCCGCGCCATCCCTGCTGGCGGTGGCGGTTGATTTGGCGCGGAGCTCCCCACTCGATCCCGCCGACTTCGCGGCCTCCTTCAGCGGCGCGGCCGTGTTGACGGTGTTGACGGTGTTTTCATCCGTCGGCTGTGGGGGCGGCTTCGTGACATCGCGGCCGTAGCGCAGCTCCATCTCCCGCAGCTTCGCCGAGGCGGCCAGCAGCAAAAACTCCGACTGAAAGAAGCGCCAAACCTGTCGGCCGCTGCGCAGGTTTAGCACGTCGGACATTTGCATCCCGTACCGCACCACGCCCACCTCGGAGAGGTTGTTGTCGATGAAAAAGACGGAGTCCCATTCCCCCGTCATGGCAAGTGACCACACCACGTCCATTTTGCGGTACACCTTGCCGTTCACGAAGGCCGTATGGCGAGAGGGCGGGAAAATGGTGTTCATGGAGGCGAGCGTGATGCCCCACACCTCAGGCCGGAGAATCAGCCAGCGGCCCATCCGTTCTGCCTTCTCATCGAGCGGGGCGGCCGTCGGCGACCGTCTGCAGGTGGGTTGTTTGGTGGAGTCGCTTAAGAAGGCGGAATCGGCCGGCTCCTCCGCGCGGTCGAGCACAGAAGACAGACGCACCACCACCGTGCCCGGTGCGAACTGACGCATGTCCTTCTCATTTGTGCCGCCCACGCCCTCTTCAGCATGCCGCACATTGTAGCCTCGAGTGCTGCGTTGATTCACAGAAGAACAAGAAGACGAAGACGATGGCGGCTCTTTTGTTTGTTTACCGCCGCCGCACCGCAGCATGTCAGCAAACGACATCTTCTCCTTCTTTTTCCTGTGCAGAGGAGCGGAGGAACCGTCAGCAGAGGGATTGAAGGATGGCGAGCCAGGCCGCCCGGCGCCCTGCGGGAGACGCTGAACGAACTTTTGAATGCAGCGCAGCCGGCCGCCCGATGTTTCGAAAACGTCGTCGATGCTGCCTTGGGACAAGAGGAGGTGCCGCGTCCGGGGACCGGCGCTGCGAAACAGTGACACCAGCTCCGCTTCACGGAAAACCAAATTCTGCCGCACCCCACTCACACCGGTCGCCACCAGCGTGTCATCGACATCCCAAACACACAAAATCTTCGGCTGATGCGTGCTTTTGCGGTACGACGAGGCACGGCGGCGCATCTCGAACTCGATGGTGCTGGCAGGTGGCGCATGTGTTTTTGGCGCGTTCGTTTGGAAAGACCGCGGTTCGTTGACCAGATCGGGCGCGAATGGTGAACGCTCGCCGGCCGTTCCGTCAACCCCGAACGGTGCGTGGGCGGCATCGGCGCCGGTTGCGGCAGACTTGCCGGGATTTTCTTTTTGCCCCAGCGGCGCCTCCATCGAGACACTGTTGCGTGTCGACACCACCCCGCTTAAGCTATCCTGTACGTGAATTGTAGTGGTGTACGTGGGTGGGAGAAAAGGCGCGTCATGCGGCCGCTCGAAGTCGTCATCGTCGATCGGGTCCTTGAGCAAGCCCACAACAGTCTTCACATCATTGTAGTCGCGGGCAGACACAAAATGAGGATGAAGGTCCACAAAGCTCATTGTGAGCTTAGCTTCCTTGTGTGTGTGTGTGATAATTTATTATTTTGATTGGTTGGCTTGCGGAGGGCTAAAAAGGTCCTTGAGCAATCTAATCAGCTTAAAACGAAAGTGATGCGTACAACAAGCAACAACAAGAAGCCGCAATGTACTCTCGTGCGCTGCGTTTGTTATTGCTACCGAGTCCGCTGCTACGTACTGCGTCTGTAATCGGAACGGATACAAACGGAAGAAGAAGAAAGAAAGAAAGAAAGCTGCAGGTAGTCCAAGAGGCGTTGCTCTACCGTGCAATCGCTCCGCTCTTCGTCTTCCTTACTCTTCCTCCCCGATACAGCGATAGAGGTGGGACAAACAAATAGGTAGATGTACGTATTAGGCGACGGGAAGCACAGGGGTCGCGAACAAAGCAAAAACCGAGCGCCCACATGTAACCTCTTCAAAAGACGTCACTGCGGCACCGAGAGCAGAATATTTAAAAAAATAGAAACACGCGAAAAGAAATAAGAGAAAAAGAAAACAACGGGTAATATCCCCAAAATTACTCGAAACACAACTGTTCGTAAGCAACAAATACAGCAATCATATAAATGGGAAAGAAGTAGAGAAAAAAGGGTACAGACAATAAAAAGACGTATGTATCGTGAAAGGAAACCCAGCTGATTCTGTGCGTGCGTATATCAACGCAAGCGAAAAGTGGCTACTTTCTTTGACGCTCTTTGTGGATGGATTAGCAGTCGCAGAGGAGAGAGAAATTACAATGAGATGCGTTGTTGAAAGGCGAATAGAAAAGAGCAGAAGATGAGGAAAGTGGCTGCACGGGTAAAGGAAAGAAAAGTGTGGAAGCGCATCTTGAATTGGCGCCACTGACGTGGGTTCTGCTTCTCTTGTAAGCTCAATGTGACGGAGTTATCATTGCATGGAAGCACGCATTACGAAGCCGCTTCTGTTTTCTTAACAGCTGCTCCTTCAACTAAGAAAACAAAAACAAAAACGCCTCGGCAAACGGAAGTGCTGTTGCACGTCTGTTAAGCAAACATGAAAGGAGAACTTTCCCTACACCCATACGCCTCACACAGCCGCTGGGGCAGCATGGGCATGTTCGTCGGCATTTACACCTTATGTTTAACGGTGAGTAAATTTCCTTTCCTGTGGTTTCCTGGGAGGCATTCGCATGCCTTGCTTTCATAAGAGTGCGCAGAACCTGCAGACTTGACAGAGTATGTAAAGGAATAAATAAAAACATAGAGATCAACGCTTGTTGTTGTTGTTGAGACAATATATAAACAGTAGAGGGAAAAATGAGAGAACTCAGCGTTTGAGGAGGGAGGGAGGGGTCATAAACCGTTCCATGTATGACGGAGAGAGAGAGAGAGAAAACCTCCACAAAGAAACAAAAAATACTGGCGCACACAACTCCGTGTGTGTATATAATAATAATAATGATAGCGTGGAAATTCCCTATACGAGGCAAAGAAGGCGACATCAAAATGTACAGAAAGAGAGGGAGAGACGATTGGAGCTGCGTCGCGATGTAAACGACGATAACGATAGCAATGGCGCAACCGAAACGACGCCGCACAGGAGAGAGAAAAAGAAAAAGCGAAAAACCTCGGGTGGTTAACCTGCAATGCAAACGGTGTGCAGCTTACGCAGCGACGACAACTGGGAGACTTCGTCGGGCGTGATGACCACATCTCGCCATGCTTCGCGCTACATTTCCCCGTTAGGCGAAGAGGTACTGATCCACCGCACTCTGAGTGATGCGCGTGCCGAGGATGAGCTCGTACAGAAACATCGCCACACACGCAAGGAGCGACATGCACACGATGCCGAAGCAGACAAGGCTGGGCAGCATCCAACCTGTGTACCCGTAGGCAAAGATGATACATCCCATGTTGGAGGTTTCGTACCGCATGTAAATGAAGTAGGCAATCTTCATGATCACCGCAGGAATGGCCACCGCCGCGACGCTGCGCGAGATGGGGAGGTACACCTGGGAGAGCACCTCAAAGACAATGGAGCATCCAATGACAACGACCCAGATGGCAAGAAACACGACAGCGCCGCCGTGGCATCCCGTTAAGTTGAGCAGGAAAATAAGAAGTGTCACCCACTCGGCGATGAGGAAATAAAAGGTAAAGAAGAGGAGTGTCCGGGTGGCAACCTCGGACGGCTTCTTTCGACGCGACAGCGCCTTCGCCGAGCGATTGTAATCCGCATTGTTGCCCTGCGTCGAGAGGATCGCAAAGCCCTGGCTGTTGCACGAATGGCTAAAGACGCCGATGCGGTAATAGGCAAAAACGGACATGAGCATGAACGCGCAGCACGCACCCAGCAGTAGCCAATACACGACAGCGTTGAGGTAATTCACTTCATGCTCCTTTTCCGTGAAGAGAAAGGTCTGCAAAATGAGTTGCGGCGTGGCGTAGAAGTAGCCGTTGCAGATCTGCTGAATCAGAATGCCGTTGCGGAGGTCGTAGCGGATGATGTAGAAGCGCTTCGCGTCGGCAGAAATCTCGTAACGGAGCGAGATGTAGCTCAGCATCACCTCGTAGAGCGGGAAGATGGGTATAATGCGGAGGTTGTTGTTTGGGTAGCGCCAGAGCTGATTATCGTAGCGTGAGATCTTTCCCTCCTCGGAGCGCATTGTCACGACGAGGCTCAGCACGTACCCGCCCACGTAGGCGATGATGGTCCAGTAGCCGTTGTTCCGGTTCTCGGGGTGCTGGAACCAGTACACGACCGTCCAGAGCGTCATGGCGGCGTACATGAGCGCCACCACCACACCAAACCAACTAATGCAGATGCTAATGTACTGGAGAGTGGAGAAGAAAATACGCATGCACAGCCGCGGTCGCTTCACATCGTTGAGCAGATACGGGTAGTCGATGAGCAGCTCAATGTAGTCGAAGCCGGAGTAGCGGAAAAGAATCATTTGCAGAAAGGTGATACGGCTCGTCTTGACGTTGCAGAGGCAGCGCACGTAGTCGAGCAACTCACCGGGAATCACGTCTCCCCTGTAAGGGTCACCAGCAAGCAGCTCATTAAGTTTCGACTGGACAACACTCTGCACCCGCGGGTCCTCGACGTTTACACGACCAGAGTCCAAGAACACCTTCAGCAGGGTAGGATTCCCGCTGGCGATCTCGAACGTTTCGCCGTCCACCGGCTCGTTACTCGCCTTCAGCGTGGCAAGAATGATATTCATAAACACATCCGAGCCCGTTTGTAGAAACAGCAGAACGGTGTCCCGCAGGTCGAGGCTTACCTGATCGTACTCGTCTCCCTCCTCGGCCATGCTGCCTTCCATGTTCGGCGGGCTCGGCGACTCGCTGGAGTCGTTGGTGTTTGAGCGGTGGCGCGAGCTCCCAAACTCCCACCCACCGTTGCTGTCGCTTTCCCGGTCCAGATCCGCCGAGTGCGGCGGGCCGCCAAGGCGCGGCTGGGTGCTCGAGCTCGTCGTCGGTTCTCGGCTTCGCGCGTACGGCGCGTGCGACTCCTCATTTTTGCCGAGAAAAAGCGTAGCGGTGGAGTTCGCTGCTTTATAGAACGCGTTCGCCAGCCACGAGCCTCCACCGTTGTCGCCGCCGCGGCGCTCTCGGGCGTCGCTGCTCGACGCACCGCCGTACGGCTGGTGTGCATTACCCGACGCGTTTCCAGGGCCGCCGACAAAACTACTAATTGTAATATGATTATTAATACTAATATTATTGCTGCCACTTCCGCCAGGGAAATGCGGTGGGTTGTCCACCGATCCGTTGTCGTCGTCGTGCGGCGAGCCAAATTGCATCTGTGCCTCGTGCGAGGCGTCGTCATCGGAGGAGTCTACGAAGTGAAGGCGCAGCCGCACACCTTGGGAGTCCATTTTCGTTTTCGTTTGCCTTTCGCCTGCGATGGGTCTACATGTGGTGGATGTGGATCGACTCTTCAGTGCTTTCTTTTTCGTTCACACAGAATAGAGTGGGCAGAAAGAAAAGAAAAGAAAGGTGAGGAAAGGGAGGCGCGCGCAGCAGCCGGCAACCTGTCTAGTTGTCACACTCTCACGGCAAGAAGCACGTTCGCTCGGAGAAGGTAGAAATGGTCTGTTCAGAGTTCTCCAAGGTAATCTAAAGAGTGTTGTTCGTGTATGTGTGTGTGGAGGGAGAGGCGTCTAATGAAACGGTGCTGAAGCCCGCGGTAGGTGTATGAAGGAAACTAATGATTTGAAAACACAACAATGAGCCGCACGCAATGACAGAGGAAAAAAAAAAACCGAATCGTAAACAGTGTATTTTATTCAGGAAACATTTGCGAGGTGCGTTAGGAGTACAGCTGTACTTGTGCACGCAACAACGCCGAGCAGAACAAAAAGCGAGAAATGAACAAGAGGGTAAATGTGTGGCCGGAGAGTGTGTAAGAAATCAACCCCTTTTTGTGAGGTCGTCAGTAGCTCGATGACGAGACTGTGGCAACTTTATAAAGGTGCACAAGTACGTGTGAGGGGTGGACTTTTAAAATAGTAGGTGAAACACATAAAGAAAAGTAGAGGAGATGGTAATAGAGACGCACAAGGCGACAGAAAGAGAAGCGAGGAACGCAAAGCTGAACAGACACACACACACACACATAGTGTCACAAATTCGACAAGAGAGAAAAGCAAGACAAGTGGGCAGCCCATTTGAATTGAATCAACCAGCTGAGCGTAGTTGCCTCACAGAAACAAGCTACTGCTGTTGCCGACAGCTTCGAAGAGAATCGGGCAAGGTCGTGTGACGCCAATGAGGAGATCTTCAAATGCTATACGACTTAACCTCAGTAAAAAGGAAGGAGAGGAGAGGACCTACGCAACGACATTACAGATCACGAGGTGAGATTCCCAAGAAAAAAAACATGACAATGGTATTTACAAGATGTAGAGAAGAAAATGGCACAATCCCTTCTCAGTTGTAAAACCTGCCGGGGCTGCTATCGGGGCAGCTCTCACAACCCCTCCCCCCAAGAACAACAACATTATCACCCCCAACGCAAACGTCCCTCACAAGTCCCGTGACATCTCTATCAAGCGTCGCTGCAAGATCTCGAGTTGCTTGCGCTGCGCCACATCGGGCACCTGCGCCAGGTCTCTGGCCGACATCGTCAGTACGCGATCCACATCTTCCTCGCTCATGTTCTGAATTAACTCCAGCACCTCATCGCGCTCCTGCTCGGTCATGGGGGCCGGTTCCGGGGCAGCCGGAACGACCTTGGCCGTGGGTTGCGCCAGTGGCGCAGAAGCACCAGCTGCCACAGGGCCGGGACTCAGTTTGCCGTCACCGCCACCGTCTCCATTGCCACTACGCGTCACTGCCGCCCGCCGCTCCTCCTCAGCTTTCTTCTCCGCGTCCTTTTCTGCCGGTTTCGTTGCACGGTAGGCCTCCGCCGGGAGCGGCCCGTGCGACAGCCGGCCTGCGTGCTGTAGAGTGATCACCACCGCCGACTTGAGCGCAGGATTGTTCTGCAACAGCAGCCTCGCCTCATCAGGGCGCTCCAGCGCCAACACGCGCAGCTGCTCGACCGCCGCGTAGGCTTCTTCGGTGGCCATCCCGCGAAGGACGTTGAGCACGAGCGACCCGTCGCGGGACAGGATGGGGTCCACGAAGCCGCGTGGCAGCTGCATCAGCTCCCGTCCGTCCTTGTCCACACTCGGCTGCGATGGCGGCACCGGCAGTCGAGGCATCATCGGAGCACGCCCTGGAGGGCCGCCCGCCCCGCGGCCCCGACCGCGACCGTAGAAGGGAAACTGCGACGGCGCTGAGTAGTGCTGCTGGTGGTACGGTGGTCCCCCATGCTGCTGCTGCTGTTGCTCCGGTACGTAGCCCTCTCGCTCCCGTTTGCGGAACGGCGGTCGCCCAGCAGGTCCGCTGCCACCCCCACCAGGTCCCGCGCGAACGGGTGCGTGCAAGGTGGTGCTGCGTGCCGCCGTGACTCGCATGGCGCGCTCGCCAAAGGTGGTACCGCTGAGTCGTCGGATGGCCTCCTCGGCCGTCTGCGGGTCCATGTAGCCGGCAATGCCGTACCGAAAGTCCTTCCCCGGGGCGGGGCCGTAGGTGGTGAAGCTCACGACATGGCCGACCGACTCGAAGTGCTGGCGCAGCTTGTCAGGCTCGATGGTGAGGGAAACGCCAGTGAAAAAGACGCTCGCCGCGACCTCCTTGCGGTCGTCCATTTCCGTCTGCTTTACGTAGCTTTTTGGGTGGTGTGGTCAAGGATGTATGTTGTTGTGAGAGCGTTTAACAGGAAGAGAGAACACACGAAGACAGCAGGAAAGGGAAACGTTTGAGGCCGAGACACACACACACACATATGTATATATAGATAACTCGTGAAACTGGATCTCATCCACAAAGCCCTTCGCAAGCAACATAACGAAGACAAAGCGTCCACCCGCAGACGCAGTGAAATCGATCCACATCCTGCTTCAGAGAAAGAGTTTGTTTTGAACGAGTTGGAACACTGCATGAGAAAAAGGAACAGAAAAGAGCGGGTTCTGTGGGTAGTATCTGTCTTCTTTTTTCTAACATCCAAATTGAGCGGCAGGTTCAATGTCTGTGACGATAAAACAATAGAAAAGAATGCAACGCCGTACAAGAAGGAAGCTGGTGCGTGGACGGCGCACCACAAACGCGACAACAGAAGCCGTAAAAGATACGCTCAACGGGGAGAACGACAGCGCAGAACCGCCAGGAGAAAAAAAAACTTTCAAGACGCGAATGCATAACAAAACCTCGCTAATTTCGTACACCATTTTTAAAAAAGGCAGAAACACCACCACAACGATGAACGTCTACATGCATTCCTTTCGCAATCATCTTTCTGAAGAACTATTTCGTTCAAGCAGGGAAAAGAGAAGAAAATGATACCCAGTTCATATTACCGGATTGCTGTTTCGCTGGTTCAGTTTTGCACCAGGACTGAGTACGCATGAGTCTCTTCAACGCTCTCTCCATTGAAGTCACGCATCACGCTTCAGAAAAACTCGTCCTCGTTGTCCTCTCCAGCATCCTCGAAGTAGTGCAGCGCCTTGTACCACTGTAATGAATGATAGGTGCAGTAGAAGCCTCCGATGCCATAATGCACGAACCGCGGAAAAAGACGACCAGTGAAGAGAATTCTAGCAGGGGCACCGAGAGTGAAAATGACAGATCCGAGCACGCCTAATCGAGCCCCCCACAACGGATCACGCAATGTCCCATAGAACCCATTTGAGGTGCCGAGTATTGCGCAAAGGAAGAGGTTTGTGTACACGTTAACAATATGCATCCTGCCGTTCCGCACACTGTTAAAGTACATGGAGAACCCGGTAACGCCGATAAGAGGGGTGTTGATGCTGTACGGACTGAACCAGTCCTTGCTCATGGGACCGCCCATCTTGACGAACACCACGTGTTGTGCTTCTCGGTTTCGCTTACGCTACAACAGATACGTGACGGAAAAAGAGACCAAAATGGTTGGTAGAAAAGAAGCGGGTGAGTTTGCAGGTGTCACCTTCTCCTTTTTAATAATGAAAGAAGAGAGCTGCTTATGTCGAGCCACGCGCTGCTGGGGGGAGAAAACGCTCTTTTTCGCTGAACGGCGAACAGAGCCGCCAAGAGAGGCAGAGATGAAAAGGAAACGTAGTAGTGACAGTGACAGCAGAGGTGAAGAACAAAGGTCCAGCACCGACAAAGCGAAGCTCACGTGTTTTGTCTCCTCTTCCATGTACGTTGGCACAGTTTGCAGATGCTGAAAAGAGAGCTCTTCCCACAAAAAAAAAGTGCACTCCTTCTTTTACGGTGTTCATTGCCGTACTTTGCGCTCTATACAGGTGTCTTTTCTTACGCTAAGCCCGCATCACATCCCCGCTTCCTCTCTTCTCCAAGCAATTCCAACACGCAGATCAGCATGCAAACAATGACTGTTGCGATCAATCTCGCAAATAAAAGAACAGCCTCGGATAGAAAGCTCGTCGATTTAGACTGTTACCGCATTTGTGTAAACAGCAATCGCTTCTCATAGATGAAACGCTTCGTGTGTGTGTGTGTATTTTAGTTTAATTAAGACGTAAGAACTTCAAATTTCAGATAGTTAGCATGGAACACAACGGGAAAGGAAACACGCACACACGAGCACGGCAAAAAAAAAAAGAGAGAGAACAGCCAAGCCCACGACGCTTAACAGAACGAAAAAAAAAGACCGTTAATACGCCTCATTCAACACTCCAAGTGATACATGTCGGCATGTTCGCACTACCAATTGTTGCCTCCTTGTATGGAAATATGCATACACCTGCGCCAATGACTTTTTAATCTGTCTTCTTCCTTTTTGTGCTGAAAGCAACATTTTTTTCTTTTACAAAAGCCACGTATGAAAAGGGGAAGAGAAAAAGAGCGCATGTTGAAAGAACCGTAAACTGGCGTTGACCTCTTCTGCGCTCTCCTTTTCTGCGGGTTTCATCACAACCCATCCAACGTTTGCACCTCACTTGCAGAAAAAAAAAGGTTCAGGTAAAAACAGGCAACATGGAATGTGTTGCCGCTCTATGCTTCTCTTGATCAACATATGTGCCTAAACAACAAGTCATATGGTAGTTCACTCCCAGAATGTGTCACTGCTGAAAAGTCTCAAACAGAAACAAAGAAAAAACAAAGGAAAACAGATGTATTCATCAGCACACCTACTACTTGCCAACGACGATGCCTGATCTAAGTGATTCTCGTCCTCCACGCAGCGCATCCACCTGTCTATTTGCCGGTTTGCTCATTGTACCGTTCAGAGAGTAAAACTTGACAAACAGGCCAGCAATGCATTTTTTTTTACTTAAAACTCAGCTATACAATTTTTTAAAAGTCCACAAAAAAAAGAATACAATTAGGTAGTCAACCTTCCTTCATGACGAGGCCACGGACAACGAAGTCGGCTTACCACGCCGGCCAACGTGGAAACAGAAATGGTGCACCCGCTGGAGCACTCTACCTGTACAGGCCGCAAATCCACAACAAAAACCGCGACTGTCAAAAATAGAGTCGGGTGCCTGCGTTACAGAGTGGAGATGTAGTGCTTCGCTGCATCGGAGAGGCAGTCCGGGCTGGCAGCCTTCACGCGCGTCATGAACCCGCTCGCCGCGCCGGGCATCGCCTGCAACACCGGGTGGTGGTTCGTGACCCAGCCCAGAATCACATCATGGATGCGGCGCGCCTCGATCTCGTCGTCCTTGGCCGGCAGGGCCTCGCCAACAGTCGCCAGCATGCCCGCCGCCACCTGCTGCAGCGCCGTGGTGCCGTAGAAATTCAAAAGCGACACGTAAAGGCTTAGCGCATTACACGTGGTGTGCGTGAACATCTCATCCTGGACCAGGTTGGACACCCAGTACGGGGCAACCGTCTGCTGCACGTGCACCGCAAAGTCTGCCCCGTTCACGCCCATGTTCGTTTCTGGGTGCGCGCCGAGCAGCTGGACTACGACGTTCAGGAGGAAGAAGTCGCTCTGAAGCAGCGCGTCGTCCGAGGTCGCCGTGGCGATCTTCAGCGCACTTTCGCAAATTGCGGGTAACGACGACACGATCGAGTGCGGCGCGTTGGAGACGAAGTCGCTAAGAAGACTCGTGGCACGTGTCATGTAGAACTCATCCGACGGTGGCTGCAGCCACTTGCCGATGACTGGGAAAGCCTTCGCGAGAAACGGAGCGGCAAACACCTCTTTCGAGGCGCCGAGCAGAGTTCCGATGAGGTCGCACACGGACGTGATAGTGACCTGCACCTCTTCATCCTCCACCTCCAGCTCATCCACTTCGTCCTCGTCGTTCTCCGTCTTCTTCTTCTCCAGGCATTCGTCGCGGCGCTTCACCACGACCTCCAGCGCAGCCATGACCTTGTCGCACACCAGCGCGGTGTTCGTCGGGCTCATAATGGCGGGGTGCACACTCACGCAGCGGCCGATGCTCTGCAGTATCACCTCCATCACGCTGTTCTCCGACTCGTCGCCGAGGGCGTCCATCAGCTTCGGCATCGCCGCTTCGGCCAGCTGCTGCGCCGCCGGGTCGCGCATCTCCTCATAGCACTTCAGAATTTCGTCCAGGATGGAGGCGCCGCTCTCGCGGATGCTGTCACTCACGACAAACGCCAGCTGGCCAATGGCGGCATTGGCGATGTCGCGGAAGTACGGGGCAAGACCAACGCCCAGATCCTTCAGCATCGCAAAGATCACATTCGCCGCGAGCTCCTTGTCCTCGATCAGGCTAGTGTGAATGGTCACCACGCGCTCGCCAACGCCGGGGATGACGAAGCGCATCTTCTCCACACCGTCTGGGCGGTCTTCGTCGTCTTCATCTTCGCCGACGCCGATGTTGGCAATCTCCATGTCGCAGTCCATGCTCATCATGTTCAGCAGGATCGGAAGGACCGTGCCGAGGTATGGCTGTGCCTGGTCCTTGAGACACTCCACCATGCACGTCCAACCACGCATCACGAAGCGGGTACGCGGATCGTCATTCGACAGACCGGCCTTGCACAAGTTGCTGAGGTAGTTGCACACGTCGGCCGAGTACGCCGCGAAGGCGTCGCGACCGACACCGCACGCGAGCAGCGTCACACATTCAATCGCCTTGCATTTCGTCTTCATCACCTCCGGCGAGTCGGGCAGACTCAGCGCGTGCTGATAGATGGGCACCAGCGACTGCACGTAGGGGACCAACATAGCCTTGCACGTGGAGGACACGGACGACAGTACGCCCAACGCCGCTTCACGGACGAACATGTGCTGCGTGCTGCTAAGCATGGCGACGCAGTCACTGCACATCGGCTCAATGTACGGCTGCAAGATGGCGCGGAACTCGTCGAGGCCGTCGTCCTCGTCGTCCTCCTCCTCGCCGTTGACGCTGTCGATGAAGCTGTCCAGGCAGTTCGCCGCGCACGACGCCACACGTGGCACGCTGTCGCGCAGGGCCTCCACGACTGCTGGCAGGATCTCGGCATGCAGCTTCATCTGCAGCTCAGGGGTGAAGTCCTGCGAGAGCTGCGCGATGCAATCGAGTGTGTTCGCACGCACGTACTTGGACTCGTCCTTCACGTGCGGCACGACCATCTGCACCAGCGAAGGCAGTTGCTGCGCGAACACGGTACGCATGCCTTCACCGGCGTAGCAGATGAGGAGCACCGCGGCATTGCGGCGCTGCCACTCCGGGGCGGCGATGTTGTTGGCAAAAAGCGTCTGCGCCGTCTTCTGCAGCTTGCGACCGCCGAGGGCGTTCGAAATGCGGTCGAGACCGCTAGAGCCGATGATCAGGTCGGAGTCCTCCTCCAGTTCGTCCTCGTCGTTGTCGCGGCCCGTGGAGTCCCACTCCTTGGGGTACTCGGGGTTCAGGGTGTACTGGAAGAGCAGCTCGAAAAAGGACGTAGCGAATTGCGGCACCTTGCGCACCGTCTTGGGAACCTCCTCGCAATACGTCAGCATGAGCTCCACGGCCATGTGGCGCGCACCCGCATCCACCTGCGGCGCCGCCGCCACCTGCATCATAAGCTCCAGCAGACGCTGGGCATCGTGCTGGAAGAGACTAATGTTGGTGGAGATGCCCTCCACGGTTGCCTGCAGCATCGACTCGACCGACTCCCACTCGCCCTGGTTCAGGTAGTTCTCGATGACGCTCAGCATCTTGGGCACGAGCGGGCGGAGGTTGTCGGCCATCCCGAGGCCGGAGAGTCGAATCGTGGCCTCGAAGGCGGCCTTCTTGAGGTCGGCCGAGTGTGTCTCCTGCGCAAAGCACGTCTCCAGACCGGCCGTCAGCGCCGCCACGTGAGCCTGGAAATAGGCGGGCATCGCCAACGAGGTCGCGAGGACAATTTCGCAACACATAGTCTTGAGCTGCGCGTCACTGCCGTGGGCGCCAATGATGGTGAAGACGTTGTCCCACAGCTCGCTCCAGTCCTCCTTGCTTTGGAAAACCTGCACCGCCAGCGCACTCACGCACGCAGCAGCCGAGTTACGCAGGCTGCCGTAGGCGGCGCTGTTGAGCACCTCCAGCATGCGGCCCTTCACGGCAGTGCGAGTGTCGGCATCGGCGCCGGAATACGGAGAAGGTGTCAAGTTGAGCACCTTACGTAGCAGCACAAGACTCATCGCGGTCACGCCGACGTCCTGCGCGGTGGCGCTGATCTCGGCCATCGCGTGCATCGCCCAGACAGGATTGGCGGCGACGATGCTGTTGTACTGCTCTTCCGCACTCTTGCGCTCCTGGTTGTCCGCGGAGCGCAAATGGTCAAGCAGCGCGGCAAGATTTTGCTGGTCCATTGTTATTGGAAGACGATGTGAACTGTGCAAAACAAGAATGGTGCGTGTTGTTGCTGCTTTTCTCCTTTTCAAGGAAATCAGAATTTAGCAATGAAGTTGTGCGCGTGTTCTGCACTTACACTTTTCTTTTTATGAGTCTCCGCGGCACTTACAATTATTATGATGTTGGTTGTTGATGTTTTTTTTTTTTTAGACGTGCGGAGGCGATTAACGTACTATTAAGCTGTTCTCTTTCTTTTACTTGTGCTTTTGTGAATAAACACCATTAACAAGAAGGTTTAAAAGGGCAGGGAGCAAACAAGACTTTGCTATCATGTGAGAGCTTCGAGGGAGATATCTGAACACCGTAGAGTGTGTAACGTTGGTTTTTGAAAAAATGCAGTTTTCCGATTCTTCTTTCACACATTCTGTCACTTTAAGTGAGTAACAGGAAACATTCTAACTACTTTATTTATAGTTTCCATTTTTAGTTGTTTATCGGTAGTCGCATCTATCAGTGCAATATGGAATAGAAGAACGAGAGAGAAATTGTAGTTTTCTCTCTCAAACAATGAAGTAGTTGAGCAAAGACTTGCAAACACACGAGGGGAAAAAGAAAAACTGGCAGTTGCACCGAAATGCAAAAAGCAATGACCCTCTAATATCCTCTGCCTTGGACGCTGAAAAACTCTGATATCGCAACAAAACACAGATATGCCTGCCTGTTTCAACAAGCACAGTCTATGAAGTAACCAAGAGAACAACAACAAAATCCCAAAAAAAAAATGAAAGTGCATAATGTAAAGTCTATGTGCTTCGTATTGAATCTATGGAAACCGCTCTGTAGAAAAAAAGAAGCTTTTCTAAGCATAAGTTGAAAAAAAAAACGTCAACTTAAGCCAGAGCCTCTTCTAAAGATTGCACGGATGAGAACTTGCACAATGTTTCACGGGAAAACAGAGACGCGACGCCACTATCGTTGCGAGACAAAACTTGAGTGGAGGAAATCTCTGCGTTGTTATTCGTCGGCAGGGGTGCCGCTGAGCCAAACACGCTTGTGCAATGCATCATCACCACACGAGGAAAAGCATAACTCCACTGCACAAGTGTGTCCATGAACGCCTCCTCGTCGAGCAATGAGAAGCTCGTCCTCGAAAGGCAATCCACTGACATGGTATTTCTTGCCGTCGTGACTTTTGTGTTTGCCCACGCTGCGGCAGAAGGGAGAAAACGCGCGCATAACTCCGGTATGCTAACTCCCACACGTTCCCACCCTCGCTTGAAAGCTGTGCTGAGAATGTGAAAAGCAAATGAGATTGTAACGCGGCGGCGTAAGGCTACAAACGCTGTGAAAGAATCCCTGGCGACAGTACTGGAAACAGTGCTACCAATATTAATTAGTTTCTCAGCAGATTGCAGAAGCTCCCTCCAAGGGGCTTCACATAGAACAGCGACAGGAGGGGTGTCAGCGTACTTGCTCACTAGGTTTGTTACGAGAGAGGGCAATATTAGCCCGTCAACGGCGTAAACTCCTTCAAGCAGGTGACTATCGGTTAAGAGCAGCCGCAACGACGTGGATCCCCGCGACTTCGACTGCCAAACAAAAGTTGCAGAAGCATCTGCCTGCAACTCCAATGCCACCGTCTTCTTCTCCACTTCTTGTCGTGCGTTAAACGAGTCTTTCCATGACCCTATCAGCTTAATATGAAGGCGTGACCACTGTACGTCGGCGTTGTAATCCTCTCGCTTCTCTTCGGAACTTGCGGTGCTTCCCAGCCCTGCGAATTGAAAAGGTGTCAGCAGCATTTTTAGCAGCGGCTGTGAGGCATCGCCATAATAACGGACAGGTCCGGCCACGTCTGACCACTCAGCCAGAATTGAAGTCAGCTTCTCAAAACAATCCGTTCCGTCGACAAACATTCTGAGAACACCGTAAGGAGACCGCGCCAGTCCAGCTTTGGAAACAAAAGGCGACAATCTTCCGGGGAGTTGTTTCCCTGATTGTTGAGAAGCACTCTCGGATTTTCGAAAGATTCTCAGCGCTGCTTGCAATACAAATGTCACAACTTCCGCCGTGTCTGCCAGGGAGGCACTTTGTCGGGTTGAGGGGATGACGAAGATCAGCTTGCATCGGTCTTCCGTGGAGTTGACACCAGCATTTTCTGGTCGCAACACACATCCAAAGCTGCCGAAAATGTTGCTTTTAAAAAGCAATTCAGATGTGAAACCGAGGGATGCCGCTTGACTTGCGATCGACGAAAGGCAATGAAGCGGTGGCGGCGTCGCACCTAACGGAACGGCCGATTTACCGCTTTCTTCGTGTGCCTCGTGTGAAGCTGTAAAAAGAAAATGAACTTTAAATGGCTGTGCCAAGTGAAACGCCGCAAGTCCGCTAAATAACTCCACTGACGAGATGGTGCTCGCAGAGAAGGACGTGGTTTGTGACAGACAAAATTCTACGGCTTCCGCAACATCCCACAACGGAACGTTGTTCCATGCCTGGAGCGTTTCAATGTACTCCGACAACGCAGAAGCCGTCGATGCGCTGGTTTCGCCCTCATCGCCACCCGTTTTCTTTGCATGATTTGCGGGAGAGAAAAACGATTTCTCCCGTTGGCAGAGTTCAACCTGGTCTGAGAACCAGTTGTACGCGCACGTACCATGAAAAAGGTCGTCTTCCTCCTTTTTGCGCGCTGAAGCTGCGCCGCTTTGGAGATTCGACAAGGCAACATTCTTCACAAAATCAGCAACTCTAATAATCTCAGAAGATTCCATAGGAGCTGGCTTAGCCGAGTTGTCTCGGCTGATATTCTGCTGCCGCTTTTCGGGTAGACTGTCACCTTGTTGCTGTGCTGACTGCTCCAGATGCGAAGGGCTCGGAACGTCTTTCACTCTTTCGGTAGAAGACAAGCTCTCGCTTTTTCGGCTGTACTCTCTCAACACCGATTCCACCTCTTCTTCCAGTGAGTTCGAAGGCTGCCCCGGCTCCAACGTCTTCGACGTCCACGTATCGCCCCAGCATATGCAAAGAGTCCGCACTCTAATTAACTTGGCTGCGGGCCGCTGTTGCTCGGACGGTTTCACTGTTACGCGGATAAATGCATTTAGCAACGTCCCTGGGACACAAAAAGAGACAAAATTATTGGGTGACAGCAGCTGGTCGCCAATTGAAATAAAACCGCGATGCTGTGAATTTGACGTTTCGACTGTGACGCAATACGGCAAAGGCGTAGATGGAGATTGACTGCGTGTGTCATTGCCGCCGCCACGAAACAGCTCCATGTTGTCCTCAACGTAAAGAACGACTTTTACATCTCGATAAATCATGGTAGAGTTTCTTGTTGGATAGCCTTTCGTGTCCTGCAGGGGTGGTGAAGACCGAATATGTTCTTGCAGTGTTTGATCGAAATTTTCTACTTCCAGAACAGCGCACGCGGAAGGAGTTAACGCGGTATTGGTCACCCAGCTTTTGGAAGGAAGCTGCGCCTTCTCGATTCGCTTGCCGACATTATGAGGAGTCACAAGAACAGACCCGACACCAAGGCCAGACGCCTCAACCGATTTGATCGCAATGATTTCCGCGGAGCACAACTGCCTGAATACTTTTTGCACGTCAGTGGAGCCTGCGAATGAAAAACCACGGTCCTTCTGGCTGCTGCCACGCTTTTGAGAACGAGAAGTACGGGATGATGGTCTTTTCATTTTTGCTGCTGCCGAATTAAGCGCAACGTCAGCTTCGTCGTTATGCACAGGAGGTGAATGAAGAGACGCATTCCGTTGGGGGGTTTCTGGCTTCTTAAAATATTTGGGTGCATCATTTTTAACCTCGCCCTCAGTTTTTTTATCTGTACTTTCCAACTTTGTTATTTTTGCGCTGGAATGCGGTAGGAGCGTCTGTGGATTTCCGTTCGTCCGACTATCACTCACAGCCTGTTGCGAAGGAGGCGGCTGACGCTTTTGAATGATGGCTGGGTTTTGCCATTGTCGAAGCGCTCCGCTGTTAAGTTCCTTTTCGGCCAACAGGCCATCAAGTGCATCAGACACCGCTTTTACGTTCACCTGCATCCGTATTTCTTTTTTGCGAAAGAAGAGAACAACAAGCTGCAGCTTTTGTGCATACCCAAATTGCCGCTGCTTGTATTTACGGTTAGGATGTTTAGACGAAAAAGACACCAAGGAGTGAAAGAGCTTTTCTAAATGAGGTTAAAGTGGGTTTTTACGCGTCGAGCTTAAAGAAATAACAATGCAAGCGAATCTGATAAAATGAATCAGGTTCGTTTTTTTTTTAAGTCAATAAAACTCAGCAGTTGGCGAGTAACTGTGAAAAAGCATGTCAGTGCTTTTAGAATTTTTAGTTTTCTTTTTTATTGATCACCTTTTCATATTTCAGATCTTAAGAACGTTATTGTACATCGATGTCGGAAAGAGACGCATGAAAGTTCAACAAGAAAACCACGAAAATGACTCTACACGCCGCCTTGATTGTTGTTTAAAACTGCGTCATTTACCAACTGAAAGGGATGGGCAGCCAAGCGCGATGTTTTGTAATGGGCGTTGTTGCGAATCAGGTACTGCGCTAGCCACATCACAGGATCAGGTTGGCTGCGATCCTCAGCGGTCACGTCCCCTGATGCCGATACACGATTCTTGTAGCACTTTAGAAGATCATGAAGGCCAGGTACTAAAGTGGGAAAGATTTGCTCGACAAGGTACTTTTGATCATCGCTCATGGCATTGTATTTATCGCCGCTGCTGTGCTTGTCTGCGTGGCTCAAAAACAGCTCTTCTTCGATCACGCGAACGAGCGTAGCATCTTCTTCCACCGAGTCGCTCAACGACATCTTTTAATCCTGTTGATTGACACTGATTCACTTTTATGAACTAGGTTTGTGTAATGAAGTTGGGGGTGCAAGAAAGAGAAGGAGAGGTATGTAGACAATAAAGTGGTGGAGAACGACAAGAAAGGAAATAAACGGATTGAACACCAACCGCGTATTTAACGAACGCGACGTGCCAGAGCCCAACATTGCGGCTCCGAATCGTAGAACGCCACATCGGGCGCGCCCTTTCCTGGGGACTGCTTTTCG